TGTAATAGCATAAACATCGATGGACATGTAGATTGCTCATTTTTATTGACTGAGTGTTACAAGACCTACAAACGTCATTCCAAGACGAAATAATCTTTTTATTAAAAAATGTTTTTAATGTCTAATGGACCATTTATCAAACACTTCTCCAGTAAGCGTTTACCGGTAAGATTTAACACTATTATTTACTTACCGAGTAAGATTTTAGTCCACCAAAACGGTATCGTATGCAACAATTTATCCGGTAAGCACTTACCGTGGTAAGAGTCTTGGTCCTTATCTCACTCTTATCGGGTAAGATTCTTGGTAATTACCTTATTCATTCGATAAGGTAACATGACTTGGTGTTCAGTTACCCGAGTAAGCGTTTGATAAACGGCTCCTAAGTCTTGTATTTTGTAGCATATTTTGAAATTATTTTTTATAATCTATTATTAAAATTGTGAGAAGTCATGTAAACTACAACTAATTTGATTTAATTGTACCTAACAAATAATTTTGAACCTTAAATATATATATTTTTAAATTAAGAACTGATTAACAAAAGCAGCGATAACAAATTCTTAATATACGAAAAACCAATATGATTCAGATTTCACCTGCGACATGGTTGTTTATGGTGTATTTATGCATTTTCAGTCATCGATATAATCAATCAGTATCAACTGAGATCTTGAATCTATGATGATTATCAGTACAAGATCACTGATTACCTGATATAATCTTTCTTGTTTAAAGTTATATTTTTCGACTTCCCCTGTTAACTTGAAGAAATTCACAATTTATTTAAAATACAATCGATTCAATTGGAACTGACCGATCATAATTGGATATCCAGTTGTAATTGGATCGAATCAGATTGAAAATTTCAACATCCAGTTTGGGTCAGTCGGTCCTCGGATAAAATTAAAACTCAGTTAAATCAACTCAGATGATCTGTCCGAGTATTTTAAAACAACTCCGTCAAAAAACTTGTAACCGATAAAATATAATTTTATTTTAAAAAGTCTTACCATGAAAGAAATAACAAAGGGGAACCTTTTTAATCAAAACAAGAAAATCATGGCATTTTGTGGGGCATTGAACCAAAAAATGGGACAATGACTTTGTAGTTGTATGAAACCAAAAATAAATCAAAATATAAAATATCAAGCAAAAACTAATTCACATTGTTAACCAAATACCAAAAATACCCTTCAAAATTCTTGCATGTTAAAAACATTTTATACTAGATACGTTTTAGATAAGGCAAAATAACTGATTTATACATTGTATATTAACAAATTAACCACTAGGATCTCCTCCGGGAGTGACCATAGTTGTATGAACGGGTCCCACATGTATCTGATTCGGGGGATAAAAATCATATATTATACCGGAACATTGGGATTTGCCCCCACCTATCCAGGATCGCCTCCTGAGGGCAATTTGACTGTTATTTTGTGCTCTGGTGAGGACATCCTATGACGCACCGATTTGACAATTCATTGTGTTTTTAATAAACGGAGGGCGATCAGATCACATCATATGACGCGCCGATTTGACAATTTAGTTCTATACACATGTACTACTTCACATAGATGCATCAATTGATTAGATAAAACCCAACTAAAAGGACTGTTTAGTTGGTTTTCTATGAAATCCTATATGAATAAAGTTATCTGTATGGATTAATCTGTTGTATAAAATGGAAAGTTTCTGTTTGAGATGGTTTTTTATATATGGAAAAACGTGTTTTTTTTAATTGAGAATGGTATGTTTGTAAAAAAGCTGACTTTTTGAATGCAGTTTTTCCTACAAACTTACTGAATAATTTATTTTTTATATTATCAAATCACTATCAAACAGTTATATATAACTGGTCGAATAAATTATGAAAATCCAATTAAACTCGTTAAATTGCTAACCTAATTCATTATAAATGGAGTATTTTATTTTGAAATTAGGAAATAAAATGCTAAATAAAGTACAAATGAAGCAAAATGTTGACTTTTAATAGTCAAAGGTAGAGACTTGTGGCAAAGGAAATAAGCAAAGATTTCTTGATTGTCTGAATAAGGGGCAATTATGTCAATTTGAAAGGCTATTAGACAAGCTTCCACACCTAAAAATACTCTACCACTCTCAACACAAGGCGCGTGGCTCTCAAAACTCCCCAACACAAAGTAAACCTTTAATTCAAAATTTTATTAGATTTAAAAACTAATTAATTTAATTATAATTAAAGAATGAATGTGTAAATTACAACAATTCAAACGGTTTGAATAATCATACCTCTTAACGAATCAGACATAAGAGGCTTAAGGGTTGTTTGACAATTGCTGATTGGTTAGGTACATAATAATTAAGTGGTCAAAATGATTAAGAGACTCTCATGATATAATGCAAAATAAAATATAATTATTTGATAATTATTTACAATGAAATTAAGGCTCTTAATGGTTAAGGGAGATCCAAGATACAAAATTATTCAGAGAGTTTTAGAACCATTAAGAGACATACTTTTTTTTTGACAAACAAGATTCACCTCTTAACGATTCAGAGGTTGTCTCTTAATGGAACTATTAAGAGGTAAACAAACAACTCCTAATAAAAGTTTTTTTTCAAAAAACAAAAAAGGCCTAACTTTCCTTTCATTTTTTTTTAAACTATAAGCTAAAAAACAAAAAGTGAACATGTTAATTATTTTTTTTTGATAAAACAGTAAAGATATTAAAACTGATTTTCTATTGATATAATATAAGCTAACTGTTAACTGATAAACTAATTATGTTTGGTAAAGTTGTGCTGCAGCCTACATGTTGTTCTGAACTTCCAATGTGATATATGAAATACTGCCCAATTATTTTTATTCCTAGTTACACATGTTTTTAGTCTTTTACACAATTATATACGTCTTAACGTTTTGTCCGTTTATAGTGTTTTAGGATTTTATATTTTTAGCCGATTAAACGATCCCCGATCCCGACTTTCGACGAATGTTATAACTTTGATTATATTTAAGTAAGAGGCTGTTTACTAAACACTTACTTGGTAAGTATTTGCCGGATAAATTGCATCATTGAATGAACATGAGAAGGGTCAAAAATCTTACCGGGTAAAAGCGATGATAATGATGGAGAGTCTTACCCGGTAAATAAGGATGACGACTCTTACTCAGGTAAGCGCTTACCCACTAAATTGTTGCATTCGATATGTTTTAATATACTAAAAATCTTACGCATCAAAATAAATCATAGTGTTGACTCCTATCGGTAAGCACTTACCGGATAAGCAATTGGGTAAACGACCCCTAGATCTCAAATGCTATTTTATTATTTTAACACAATTTTGTTATTTTAATCTGTATAACTTTTAATATAATGTATGATATGAACTTTTATATTTTGTTTGATTATTGCTTGTCCCGTCAATTTGTATTACGGTATAATATGGTCTGAAAAAAAGAATAAAAAACTACTGATGTTTGGAAAAAAAAAATTAACTAATAAAATAACTGATAATATTAAATGACCTAAAAGGGGTTGATAAAAAAATTAAGGGGTAGGCTAAGTACACTCATATATACCGCTAAATGTACTCCTGATGTTGTATTTTCGAATTTAGGGAGAAAATAAAGGAAAATAAAGGAAGAACACCTTTTTTTATTTGGTAAATTACATGAAAAAATAACGTACTTTAACTTGATTTCTATTTTGGGTAACGTAATTTTAAAACTTCCATTTTAGTAACTAAGATATAAAGTTTTAAACATTTAAGTACCCGGTTAACTTACTTTCAAAACTTTTATATAATTTCCTTCTTAAAATAGGTTTCGAGAACAAAACGTAAAAGCATCTCCAACATATGTTTTCAATATCTTTTATCATTGACAAAAAATCAAAATATTATTTCTCTATTTTTTTTATTAGAGGGGGGAGACCCTTCCTATCAAGAGAAAAAAACTAAAAAAAAACGCTAAAAACGACAGTTTAAACACTTGGATGGGGGTAAACCACATCCACCAGAAAGAAACCAAGGCTTCCAAAGGGAAAGAAAATAAGAAAGACAGAGATAAGAGAGAAGGATCAACCATTAGAGAAGGTTCCAGGCAAGCCGAACCCGAACAACATTTGATTATTTATCTATTTTGTATAAAGTTTTAAAGATTTTTCTTAAATTTAATCACAAGGGTGGTGCCTAATTGGTTTAAACTTGACTCCAAAGATCAAAAGTACCTGGAGGTCTCAGGTTCAAATCCAAGGAGAAATAAAAATCCCCTTGTGACCACAGAGGTTCAAATGCGATGACTCCGAGCTATCTGCAAAGCAAGTAGTCATTTTGGGATTAGTCGGCTCGCATAACGAGTTAGATATCCAGGTTAATAAAAAAAAAGATTTTTCTTAAATTTAAAGATTTTCACCATTTGCTTGTTTTTTTTCCTTGTATCTTAACATACATTTTAACATAACTATCAGATAAATTTATTTTTTGCTAAATATTCGAAATCTATTCTTTAACATAGCCGTTGGAAATGCTGAAATTTCTTTTTTTATCATCATCATCATCAGTATCAGATATACTTTTTATATTTTTAATACATGATTTGATTTAATACTGATATGAAAAAAGGTACAGAAAAGAAGTCATAAAATTAATTAGAAACAGAACTAGTTTATGAATATAAAAACATAACCCTAAAAAGTTATTGCATTAATTTTGGAAGGTAAGAAAAGGGATAAGAAAAAGCGATAATAAAAGATTCGAAGTAAAAGAGGTTCATGGCTCCATGATCTGCGGTGATGGAGGGAGAGATTGTTTTTGGATTAGATTACTCGGTCGGAATGAAATTGAAATTCGATCCAAATTCACATTCAATTTCAATCAAACCCTTATTAAATTCACGCGTAATTCAGTACATCAAGTAGTAGCAGTCATGAAATCCGTGTAGGAGTCATCGTCATCGATATATACACATACAATTATTACTTTTAGTGAGAGAAAACTCTTTGATTTCTAGAGAGAGAGAGAGAAAAAACACTTCCGTCTGCCGCTTCACCGCTTCGTCCATTCCGTCGCCATTCGGCGGAGAAACCCTCGCAATCTTGCCGCTGGTCGGTTGTCATTTCTTCGCTGGTAAACTATTTCGTAGAGTTGATTTTTCTTTCATTAGTGGAATTGGTATGTTGGGTTTTGATTATTTCCCCCCAATTATGTCGATTAGGGTTTGAATTTGGTGGGTGATGGTTAGAATTGACTTCTTTATTTCATTTATACTGCTTATTCTAGGGTTTTGTTTAGTTTGTATCACAATTTATGGGGGTTTGAGCTGAAATTGTGTGACTAGGGTTTTTCATTTCACAATTTGATCGATTTGTTTTAGGGTTTCGGGGTAGAATTGGGAAAGTGAAAACGAAATGGGTGATACTGAAGAAGGAAACAGTGATATGATCCAACGAGTACAGTCTTCGTTTGGGACTTCATCGTCTGTTCCTAAACAACAGCCACAAAAACCAGTTTCATTTAATCAACTCGATATCCCCCAGTTGAACACAGCCCCATTCCGTGGCCAAAATCGACAGTTTTCCCCAAATTATAATCTCGATAATAGCAGTAAAAGAGTCGGTATCCCGCCGTCCCATCCACAATTCCCGCCGGTCTCACCTTACTCACAGATTCCGGTGACTCAGACTTCAGGGAATAATCATAAAATTGGGGGTTCACAGAGCTTTACTCATGGTCCAGGGCCATCCCATTCACGATCGTTATCACAACCTTCCTTTTTCCCTTTGGATTCTCTTCCCCCTTTGAGCCCATCTCCTTATCGGGATTCTCCTTCAGCACGATCCTCTGATCAGCTCCCAGGCGATATTTCAATGGAAGAACGTGATGGGAATTCACACTCTTTGTTGCCACCTTCTTCTCCTTTTGGGCGTGGGAATTCGGCTCGAACCGGTGAGAATCTTCCACCACGAAAAGCTCATAGGCGGTCCAACAGTGATATTCCATTTGGGTTCTCTACTATCTTGCAATCATCACCGCCATTGATTCCGTTAAGAAGTCCGAATACTTTGGAACGAGCTGCGTCTTCAAGAGACAATTCGGGCTCAAAGCCCATTCAGTTGGTGAAAAGGGAATCGAGTTGGGAGAAAGTTGGTGGTGAAGGCAATGCCGAAGGAACTGGAGAGAAGAAATCTGAAGGGGAAGTGGTGGATGACCTGTTTTCGGCTTATATGAATTTAGACAATCTCGACACGTTAAACTCTTCGGGAACCGATGATAAACAAGGAACCGAGAATCGTGAAGATTTGGATAGCCGAGCTAGTGGAACAAAAACAAACGGTGGTGATAGCAGTGATAACGAAGCTACAAGCAGTGTGAATGAAAGCGGAAATCATATGCAAAGATCGGGAATCAGTTCTATTTCCGATAAACGAGAAGGGATTAAACGGAGTGCTGGTGGAGACATCGCTCCAACTACGAGACATTATAGAAGCGTTTCGATGGATAGCTTTATGGGAAGGATGAACTTCGGTGATGAATCACCAAAGCTTCCTCCTTCCCCTGGTGGGAATGTTAATCAACTATCCCCAAATAATTCCATTGATTCAAATTCAAATACTTTCAGCTTGGAGTTCGGGAATGGTGAGTTTACGGGGGCCGAGCTCAAGAAAATCATGGCTAATGAGAAACTTGCTGAGATAGCTTTAACCGATCCCAAACGAGCCAAGAGGTATGCAACTTTGGATTTGTTTTTATTACATTATATTTTGGGCAAAATGCATCAAAATGCAACGAAGTTTCCCTTAGTCTTTATTCAGTATAATGAGGAACCTGTTTTTCTCAACTAATGTAACTAAGTTTCAAATTTTCACAAGCATTTTGACCTGCAACCTGCTGATTTTGTAACGTCTTATCGCCCATTTCGTCATAACCCTTTTGTAAACCTTTGGTAAACGGGTATCCATGTCATCAATGCTACAAGATCAACACGAAGGGTACAAAATTGAAAATTTTGGAACTCTGTTACATTGATCGAGAAAAAAGAATCTTTGTTACACTAAATTATGGAACTAAACCGAACTTTGTTACATGTTGATGTATTTTGCTCAATATTTTCTCACATTGCTTGTTTTAAGCATTCGAATATAAATTGATTGTTAATATAGACTATTTGTTCGACCATATGATGATTGTACATATAAAAACATCGTATCTCAAATACTCACATTAATTCAGATAAGTTTAACGAGAAAGTTTAATGGCCTTCCTTAGGATCTTGGCTAATCGCCAGTCTGCTGCTCGATCAAAAGAACGGAAGATGCGTTACATTACAGAATTGGAACACAAGGTTCAAACTTTACAGACTGAAGCAACGACATTATCTGCACAGCTTACGTTATTGCAGGTGGGGTTTTGTTAAATTGTGGAATCAGTGCTTGTTTTTCGTATTCTTTTGGCCTTTATCTTTTGTTTACTGAAACAGTTTTCATTAATTTCTTGCCTTACAGAGAGATTCAGCTGGGCTCACAAGTCAAAACAATGAGCTAAAGTTTCGTCTGCAAGCTATGGAACAGCAGGCCCAGCTTCGAGATGGTACGGCTTCATTTGCATCTTATAACTATAGTTCCCATCTTTTTCTTGCATTTGTTGGTCCTACCTGTCGTAGAACCTTTTTGCAAGTCGAGGTCTCTATGGAAATAAGTCAATAACCTCCTTAGGGTGGAGGAAAATTTACTTACATCTTACCCGACCCCATACACTTGGGGATTCATTGGGTTTGTAGCGCTTGGGATTGACTGGATTCGTTTGGTTTGCTTCTCAATTGCGTCATTTTGTTATGAACGGAATTTTTTCCCCCTTAAGCCATCTTCTACTTGATTATGTTTCTCTTGTACCAGCATCTATTTGTTTGTCCTTCTTTTCTGTTAACTAGGTTGTCAATTTTTTTTCCCTTGTGCTTTAATCTCTCTCTCTCTCTACCTCTCTTCACTCTTCTCACAAGACGAGGGTCTTCATGGAAACAACTTCATTCTTCGGGATAGTGGTCAAGTTTGCCTACATCTTATCTCTCCTGACCAACTTACAAGTAGGAACATGCGGGGCTCGTTTCGTTTGGTTTACCAACATATGCAGTTTGTCAACAGACTGGTGCCATAAACCAAACCAAACGATCCAAGTATATTATACTTGGGGGTGGAGTCGGGGGTGGGGCGTAAGTGAACATGACCTCCACCCATGTGATAACCAAATCACCTTCCACTTCAATGTCTGCCAAACTTTCAATTTGTTTTCTCTGAGGAACTTTCATTGAGCCAGGAAGTCTGTATAGATTATAGTTTCATCTTGTAGAAGATTAAGGAAACAAAATTTGTATGGTTCTGATTTGATCGGTCGGTTTTTTTGTTGGTTCGAGCAATACTTATGGATGCCCTTTATTTCTGTTTCTACATATTTTTTGCACGTTAGGGCAGTGTTGTGACCGTTTTAAACGTGAAATGTCTGAAATAACCTTCAATAAAGGAATATGATTGTTCCAAATCAATATTACTAAGTTACTTGCAACAACATTAAATGGGTAAGTAGGTAATTTAACTGGAAGTTGGTTCCGGGGTGATATATTTGCACAAACAAGTGAGGGTTCGAGTCTTGCAGCCAACAAGTGAGGGTTCGAATCTTGCAGCCACAGTGTGTGTAAATACAATTCTTTTTAAGCATTGGGCTCCTTGTCGAAACTGAACTCTTAGGCCAGCCACTTAGCGATCTACTGTCTACCTGATTTGCTTCTCACATGATGCTCTCGAGGCTGGGCGGTGTGGGTCGGCTGCTAATTACAAACCCTTTTGCACAAACAATTTGGTCAACTGATTACGATCTCTTTGCTGTTATATTATCATCTTACTCCATTTCTTTGTTTGCTTTTTGGTTTTGTGATCATGGCAGCTTTAAACGAGGCTTTGACTGCCGAGGTTCAACGTTTGAAGATCACGACCACAGAGCTAAGTGGAGACGCTGCCAAGTTTTCTCAACTCTCGATCAGTCCACAAATGTTCCAGTTACACCAACAGCAGCAGCAGCAGCAGCACTCTCATCAAATGCAACACCAAAACCCGCAGCAGTTGCAACAGCAAAACGGCGGTGCAGGCACCAAGCACGAGTCGAACCAATAGGACAGAGTCGGGGTTTTCGGAGGTGCCGAGTTTGTGCATACCATCAGTAACGAGCGACTTAATATATCTCAGGTGGATTCAATTCATTAGTTTTTGCGTCTTTTCGGAAGTACATACCAAGGTGGGTTCTTTTATCGACTTCTAATATTACCAGACTTAGCAGCTTCGATCTTTCATCGAGCTTTTTAGCCATTTATTTTATATATATATATATATATACACATATTTCTTTGTGTTTGAAGATTTCTTTTTGTTCATGATCTTGACAAATTCATGGGATTTGAACTTGTTTTTGTTTTCATTATGATGTGGAGTTGATTGAAGTTTTTGTTTGTAGATGTTCCTTTTTGTTGCATTTTGGGGATTCAAAGTTGTTCCATCTATTTGGTGCCCTTATGTCATAATTGCCGTTGCTTTGTGTTTATGGGTGTTATAAATTCTTTTGTTGCTTTCACTTGTGGCTTAATTAGGTTTATTGGTCTATCTGGCTTATTTGCACAGTTCGTTTACTTACGGTTTATTCGCATAGATAGAAATGGTGTGTTGTCTCCATTCAGCCACAAAAATGACACCCCTAACTCTTATTTAAAGCACCACCTCCTTTCTATGTGAAATACCTTATTGTTGGCCTTTTTCTGATTTTTTCTTTTGATGTTCAAATAATTAATATTGGGGGGTAAATCGGTCATTTATGTTTATTAAGACTGTTGGTTTAGATAAAAAAAAAGAAGTAAACAACACCATCCATTTTACCAAAAAGATAAATTTATCCAGACAAGACTTGATAAAAAATTTTGGTAAACAACCCAGTATATCTCATTTAAAGGTAGTGGAAAGGCGTATCTTTTAGTTTAGTATGGGGTTATAGAGCCTTAGGGAATGTTTGGTTGGTTTTTCATTAAATATTGTGTGAACAAAGATATCTGTCTGGATTAATCACTTTGTATAGATTGAGATGGACAAGATTGAAAAAAATGTGTCTTTCTGCATAAAGCTTTATCTAAAAGCTTACTGAATAAGCTGTTTTTTTTATTATTAAGCAACTGATAAATAGTAATGTGTAAAAGTAACATATAGATGACCGAATAAATTATAAGATTTTTTTATCCCAAATAATACTATTTCTGGATAATTTGAAATGAAAGAAGTTTCGACTTTGACATGGTGATTGTAATGTCAAATGTCAATTCAAGCATTTTTAGTCTATTGGAATGGTACTCACATAATTCATTAAGATACATCTTGATTTTAATATTTATTTTTATTTTTTTATCTATGTCAATGTTATGATACGGTTTTATATGTTTTTGACAAAATGATAATGTTTTTATGTTTAAATAAAATATAAATTTAAAGATCCCATAAAAACTTGAAAAAACTGTCGATATTAGAATCAAATTAAGTATTTAAAAATTCTCGTTTTTGTGTAATTTCTTCGATTTTTAGTTATAATTTAATGATGAAATAATTTATTTTCGGTTTAATAATATAATTTTTTATAGAGATAATAATTAACTATTCTTTAAATGTTAATGATTATCATATTATATTTTAGATTTTTTATATTTAAAATGAGATGTTTATCTGCAGTTAGCACTTTATGTATAAAAAATAGTTTTTAAGAGTTCTTTTTGTCAAATGCTTTGTAATATAGTATAGATAAGGGGGTGTTTTGTAAGATGTATTAAAAAGTAATTAATGAGAATGAAAATAAATGAAATTGTTTTGGTTTTTTATAATATAACGGGTCCATTTATTTCAGAAGCCCAAATTTTTATTTCAGGTTAAACACGCGATATGAAAATTCATTCCTATTTTAATTATCTGTCATTTTCATTTTCATACCCATTTTGGTATTCATTAGCAATTATAAACCAATAAATTAAAATTCCATATTTTATGCAAGCAAAACTAAAAAATTGACATCAATTATCTATACTATATTATGAAACATTTGACAAAAACTCTTAAAAACTATATTTTATGCACGGAGTACTGTTTATTGATGCATATTATTCAAATTCAATATTACAAGTAAATTGTGCATAACTACAACTTATTAAAGCTCCATATTTGAATTCGTGTAACTAACTGCAGATAAATATAATCAAATACAAGATAAATATTTTAAATACAAAAAATCTAAAATGTAATCAGAATAATCATTGAGTTCTAACAAAATACTTAATTATTATCTTTATAAAAAAAGTATATTATTAAACCTAAATTAAATTACAATAAAAAAATTGAATTAAAGAAATTATATAAAATAAGAACTTTAAATAGCTAATTTAATATTAATATCCATATATTTTTTTTTCTTCAAAATTTTATGATATTTTAAATTGTTTATTTTATTCAAAAATAAAAACATTCTCGCTTTCTCAAAATCATATAAAACCGTATTATATCGACACAAATAAATAATAAAATGAGACATTGAAATCGAGATATGTTTCGATGCATTGTACGGATATCTTTTTAGTCATCAAAAAACAACTTTCTCAATTGCATTGTAAGAGTTGTTTAATTAATAACAGTTAAATACAAGTTTGGTCCTTGTGTTTACATAAATTAACAAGTAAGGTCCCTTCAAAAATTTATTAATGTGGAATGTCACTATAGCTTTATTTTTATAACGGATATGGTTTCTCATTTAACTCCTTCAATTAAGTTTTCATTACTACAGTGTATTTTGGCGGTCGATTTGGTCCAAACTGTTCAAAAAACGTTCAAACCGCAAACTGAATAAGACCTAGCTGTTTGTCTATTTTCCAGACTGGATTGGACCGCCAGACCGTTCAAACCGCAAAAAATGATTCGGTTTGAGCGGTCCAACGATTTTCTTAAACACCCCAATAAGGACATCCTCATTAATAATTATTTAGAGGGACCTTACTTATTAATTTGTGTAAACCATAGGGACCAAATTTGTATTTAACTCAATCAAGAACAACTACACTCACTTTGATTCACTCTGGTTATAGCTTATCATGACATCTTCAACAGGTAACACCAAATCTATAAAAATTGATGTAAAATTTGGTACAGATAGTAAATCTACTTTTTTTTTTGTAAGGGTGTCCGGGCCAAAGCCCGACTAATCCCTGGCAAATTTGGAGGCTAAACATGGCCTCACTTAAATGTCGCCAACACTCCCCTCCCAGGGCTCGAACTCGGGTTTATGATTATGTCATGCCCAAGCCTTTACCACTAAGCTGAGGTCATATCCCTTTTTTATCTTTTTGAATTAGTGTAAAAAAACAGTGTTACACCAAATTTAATGTCTTTATTTTCACAATTCAATATAAGGGGGGTGTTTGAGATTGCTTATTTGAAACAACTTATACTTTTCTATAAAAGTTTTCATCAACTTATTATAAGTTAGAATAATTTAACTTCTTCAAAAAAAATTTATTACCGGTTTGTCACCGGTATAAGCTTTTTATCCAAACACTTAAAAGTGCTTTTTATCAGTGCCATATCAGAATAAGTCAATAAGTTATTTTTATAAGTAATCCTAAACACCCCTAAAATCTGATATTTCCATTGAAATGATCTGGTATCAAATTTAGTATTTGATCTTCCTAAGATGGTCTTTGGAGGGTACTTGTGGATTGTCATTTGCATTATGGGTTGTCAACAATCATAGTTTATAGGGGAGTGTTGTTGTTGCTTCGTAACCATGACTCCATCCAATGTTGTATATTTTTTGTGCATCTCTATTTGAACAAATTTTAATGGGATATTTTTAGTTGTTAGGGGTTGTTTGGTAGTTGCTGAATGGTTTGATGCAGAATGATTAAGTGATCAGAATGATTAAGAGACTATTATAATATAATGTAAAATAAAATATAATTGTTTGATAATTATTCATAATAAAATTAGAATGCTGAATGATTAAGCGATACCCAAGATACAAAATCATCCAGAGGGACATAATTTGTAAACTGACGAGATACATGACACTCTCATTTATCTGTTCAGTTCACAACTTATGTCTTTAAAGCTTTAAGTGCTTTATGTATACGAATTTAAAGATAAAGATGATAAAAAATGCGAATACATTGGTTTTGACCTTTGAGTGATGCTTTCGGGGCTTATTATGAAGAAATGAAAGCATAGGGGGGTCAAGTGTAACTTCTATGTTTGCAAACGACGTCGTTAGGTTGATCGTTTCTCTTTCCGCTTTTTGTGGTACCGCCACCACTTGCTCGACCACCACTTAGCAGCAAAACCCTATCGAATCTTTCGGTTGTTTAACGTACGTATAGCTAAACCGCTCCGGCAGGCGATGGAAGCGACGGCTACGGAGGTTACAGTCGGAGAACCACCGAAAATTCCGATGGAGCTGCCTTTTCCTGCTCGAAAGCCGGTGAATGAACTGTCAGTAGAAGAGATGGTGGCCAAATCAATAGTTCCGGTGAAGAAAGAATTTATGTGTCCCGCACCTAACAGACTTACTAGTGATAACAATGGACCATCCGGCGATGCCGTTCCTGTCCCCACCACCGCCTCCGCACCTGTTATTAAGGAGAAAAAATCAAAAAGACAGCTCAAGAGGGAACGAATTCAGGTATCATCTGTTTTATGCTTATCATTTTGGATTACTAATGTCGTTTTTTGGTCTCTAATATGCTGTTGATAAGATTAAATGCCACTACTTAATGCTTAATAGCTCCTGCCTGCCTGTTGTGGAGATGCAGAATATCGTTTGATTAGTTATGCAATTCTTTTACTTAATGCTGAGGATTTGAATGGTTGTTTTCAAGAGTAATTCTGTATTCCAGGTTTCACCTCATAATTCCATTAGAGATAAATACCTATGATCCTGTTTTCGAGTTCAAAAAGCTTACAGAAATTGTACGCACATAGTGATTACTTGTAAACTTGAAATTTGAAGGGATCATGAGCGATACTTTATAATATTAGTACAAATTTACTTTGTTGCTGAAATGCGCTATGCATCCATTTTTGAAGTATTTTAATGAGTGGAGAGGTGGGAATAGAGTGTGCTAGCTGTTAGTCTTAACCATCATCTGACGATAACATGACATTTTACTTGCAGGAAAAACAGTCCACACGTAATCTCTGTCCTATGGTTGCGAAGACTGGAAAAGCAGATTCGTGTCCTTATAATGATAAGTGTCGTTTTAGTCATGACATAGAAGCATTTAAGGATCAGGTAAAAAGTGATGACTATTCTGTAGTCAATTTACTACTTGTTTTTTTTCATGACCTCACTTTAGTGATCAGACCGGATATTATTAAATGCAGAAACCTGCTGATTTAGAGGGCATCTGCCCCTTCGAAGGTGATGAAGGTCCATGCCCCTATGGATTGGCTTGCAGATATTTAGGTACCCATAAAACTGATGTTGCTCTTGGAACTCCAAATGCTCGTAAGAACGCTGAAGTGAATGGACTGAAGAAAGATGTCCAGAGGCTGTTGTGGAAGAACAAAATGAAGTTCCCTAAGGCAGATGCTACGCTCAAAGTTCTTGGTCTAATGGTATGAGTTGATAACACCCTTCATATCATCTGAGTTGCGAACCCCAATGCATTTAATTATTGTTGGTTATAATTAGGGAGGGCAGCCTGCTTAAATGTTTATTCATCATAAGTAAATACATAGTTTATAACATATTAAATGTCAAGGTGCCAAAATGACGTGGACTGTATAGTTGTCTCTTCTGGTAACTGGCTGTAAGTGCCATTTACTGCATGGGACAATTGACGATTTATGTGTGTTCCATTTTGTTTGAGATGCAGGGGGCCGCAAAATCAAAGAAGACACCGGAGGCTGATAATGGAGAAGAAAATCAGACCGTTTCAAATGGTTCTAACGTTACAAATGGAAATGGTTGTGGTGAAACTGGTACCCAGCCGATTGTAGAGAACGAGTGCTGTCCAGAAGTTCCTGAGAAAGTTGAAGACAGTAATGGTGCTGATGATCCTAGACCCCTGAAGAAAGGAAAATCTTTAACTGATGAAACGTGTGATTCCATCAAAGAAACTAATGGTCTGTTGTGTATCTGTGAGTTCTTTTAGGGTGCATTTGGTACGTGAGACATGACTGGACAAAAACTTGTTTCCGCATGTTTGGTGCGATATAGAGACCGGGGCATGATTGGACTGAGTCGGACAAAAATGCATTTCACCGAAGTAGGTGGAACAAAATTCAAGAAGATGGGAGTCATGGGACAAGATTTATAACTTACCCATGTGGCCATGTCAAATTAAAACCATAAAACCTTGCAAATCCTTTCACGCACCTACCTTGCTCTCTCCCGTCCTGTTGTATCCTGTCCAAACCTGTCCAGTCTGCGTACCAGAGGCACCCATAGTGGGATTAGTTCATATTATTCCCCTCATAAATTTATACTTTCTCCTTGTATCTTGTGACAGGTGCAAGTCTCACGGAGAAAGATCTTGATGCAAGTGGTGCACAATTAGAATCACTTTCAACTGTTGGCCATATTGAAACCGATAAAAGCTTAAACTTACGCCCACGTGAAAAGAAGCTGATTGATTTTAGAGATAAGCTATATCTTGCACCTTTGACCACAGTTGGCAACCTTCCTTTCCGAAGGGTTTGCAAAGTGTTAGGTGCAGACATAACATGTGGTGAAATGGCAATGTGCACAAATCTTCTACAGGTTTGTGATGTTCTGCTAACACACTTGCTTAATATCTGATTGGTTCAAATTCATCTTGTAGGCACCTCTTTGTATTAGGTGATATAGGGCATATAAGAGTACACCATCAGTTTTTTTCATACTGCTTTTACCACTATATAGATGGATGTAGCAACAATTTTGCATAATGCATTCCAATTTGATCTGTCAATAGTAGTGATTCGGTGGTTTTATTCGTTGTATATGCTTTTCTTTTTGGTAATATTTTTTGGTTTCTCTAACATGAATAGTGTTCCATAATTTTGAGACCTTAACATCAAAGACAAACTAATAGAAAGTAGGCAAGAATTTGTGTTTATGTTATGGACTTGCTGCTCTCTAGTCTTATAATCCCTCCATTCCAAAATAAGTTCGTCCTAAAATAAGTATCCGCTTTCAAAAGTAAGTGGCTACTTTCCAATTTTGCTCTTAATTTTTGAGATGGAGAAATTCACTACCCTCTTTATGATTAAGGGTAAAATTGTCTTTTAGTTAACTAAAAAATGTAATGATTATACATTTCTAAAACTGGCATGTGAAATCATCCCCTCACAAGTAGAGTGAATGTTTTCTTATTGTGAACAGGGCCAGGCTGCAGAATGGGCACTGTTAAGGCGCCATGTATCTGAGGATCTGTTTGGAGTACAGATATGTGGGGCATATCCAGACACGGTTGCTCGTGCTGCTGAACTTATTGAACAGGAATGTACAGTGGATTTCATTGATATCAATATGGGCTGTCCAATTGATGCTGTGGTTAATAAGGGGGCTGGGTCAGCTCTTCTTTCAAAACCAATGCGGATGAAAAATGTGATACAAGCAGTTTCTACCACGGTGGACATTCCAATAACTATAAAGGTATATGATGTGGGTGTACCTCCAAATTGCCGACATAAATGAATCGAACAGAATTTAACATTTCCATTCGGTTCAGTTTCTTGTCCAAATTTCTTTATTAAACTGGTTGGTTGTTTCAAGAACTTCCAAGTGTTAAACCAATCAAACTGAAACTGAATTGAACCATTCATATTAAAATGAGATAGATTTATATTGTATTAGAAGCATTATTTACTAATACGATCTATTTTTTATATTAGAAAGATGGTCTAAGTTTAACTACAAAAATACTACATAGTCTTATTGTAGTGTTATTTTTCAAGAAATTGAGTTCAATTTATTTGCCTTGAATTAGAATCTATTTTTTAATTAAAGTAATTAAAGTTTGTTTACAAACCGAGGAAGTATTTGAACGATGAAACAAACTAAATTGAACTGCAATGGACTTGTTCAGTTTGATTTCATTTTTTAGGCTTAGCTGGTTCAGTTTCGTACCTGCCAAAATGTAGCCACCTAACTATTTTAGTATCAATTTAGCTGGATGCAAAGTGAATTAGAAAACAAATATTTCTAGTTAAAAATTGATCCCTATACTGAACTAATTTCTGATGTTGTTCATTGTGTTTACTGCCTTGGTGTTAAGCTAATTTCATTCTATTTTCTTTCTTGTGCTTTATATGGCTCTAGGCACGAACAAGTTACTTTGAGGGTAGAAGTCGCATCGATTCTGTAATAGCTGATATTGGGAAATGGGGAGCAAATGCAGCCACCATACATGGTAGATCTCGTCAGCAGCGTTACATCAAGCAAGCCGATTGGGAATATATATACCAGTGTACAAGAAAGGCCCCTGATACTTTCCAAGTCCTGGGGAATGGAGACATCTTTACGTTTTCAGACTGGAAGAAACACAAATCTGACTGCCCTGAACTTTCGTCATGTATGATTGCTCGAGGGGCTTTGGTAAAGGTATGTAACATGAAGTTTGACTTTCTTGTCATGAAGTATTATTGAAATCTTTTAAAAAATGCTCTTATTTGTTCCGTTTTGTATGCCTGCAGCCCTGGCTTTTCACTGAAATCAAGGAGCAGAGGGACTGGGACATCAGTTCTGGAGAACGCTTAAATATTTTGAAAGATTATGTGCGTTTTGGACTTGAACACTGGGGTTCCGACACAAAAGGTATACATTTGGTGTTAATTATTCTTGCATACCATCCACTCAGCATGTTTCTGAAGAGAGTAACTATTAGGAGGATCTGTGCATCAACTCATGAATTTTTAACATTGTATACTTTTACCTGCTAACACTAGGTTTTTTGCCGTAGTTTTATAGTTGCCCATGGCATTTGCTTCAAGTTTTTTTAGGGTGTATAAAATACTCATCACCTGCACATTGATATCTGGAATGCATATTAGTATGTTATTTTGACCTCGTATTAACCTTTTCCATGGTGCAATGATAACTGTTATTTTTCCCGATTACCTGTTACAATACCTGTCTTATTGTCCGCTTGCACACACCTTTGCTTTGTCCACAAGCTGGGGGTCTTCACGGAAACTGCCTCTTGATCCATGTGGTTGAGGTTAAGGCCTGCATACATCCTACTCCTCCAATACCCTACTTTCGAGTGGGATACATCGGGTTCGATTGGTTTGGTTTCATGGTGCAATGATGCCTCCCAAATGTTGCAACATTTATATTGTGAAATTTTTATTAAATTATAGTTGGCTATTTGTCGTTATTATTACAACTAGAACTATCCTTGGAGAATACTTTGTTGGCGATTCACTAAGTGCACACTGGTCATATGCATGGCGCTTGCGGTGTATTTGTACTTGAAGAACTTGTGTTTGCAACACTGGTCAAACAGATGGAGTAAATAGTATCAGATCTCATATTTTTGAGCCAATGTGGTTTCGGTCCAACTTTTTGTGATATTTTGATCGTGGCATTTTCATTTCTTAGACAAATACAATTGTTGATTGCTATTCATTATGCTATTCCTGACTGTTACTTTCATCTTTTTTTTTTGTATTTTGATCATATTTACCATGATATTTTGGATACACAGGTGTGGAAACAGTTAGGCACTTCTTACTAGAATGGCTTAGTTATACATACCGATATGTTCCACTTGGTCTCTTGGAAGTCATCCCTCAAAAACTGAACTGGCGTCCGCCTGCATACTATGGTCGTGATGACCTGGAGACATTAATGGCTTCCGAGTCTGCAGTCGACTGGGTATTCCTTCTTTAAGTTACACGTTACTTGTTTGCAATTGCACACACTCACCTGTAGCTTTTTGGTTTATGCATGGGTTACATCCTTAATCTCCCCCCCTCCGGCAGGGGCGTGGACCCTACCTCTAGGTGTGATTTATCGAGTTTGTTTGATTTGTCCCTGCTGCCTTTTATGTGTACTGTAGTCGTTGCTTATTTGCACATATTCTCACCTGTAGCTTGTTCTCTTGTTTATTTTAATTTTTATTTTGCAAGTCGGGTAGAGGAAAGGTCTGCATTCATCATATTCCCACGCCCTACCTCTATATAGAATTTACTGAGTTCGTTTAGTTTGGTCATTCCATCTATAGGGGTCAATCTCGTCCGTGTGCATCCTCGCCCCCCCCCCCAAAACCCAAAAAAGAATAGTAAATTACATTTTTCGTCCCTGTGGTTTGTTAGAATTTGCAGATTTTGTCCCTGTGGTTTTGAAATTGCGGTTTTCAATTCATTTCTATTTTCGTCCCTAAGGCTGACTGCTACTTTTTAAGTATGAGGAGCTGGTATAGAAATGAATCATAAAACACAGGGGCGAAAAAAGCAATAAAGTTCAAATCGTAATTCATAAGGACGAAAACAATAATGAATTATAAACCATGAGGATAAAAATCGTAATTTCAAAACCATAGGGATGAAAATAGAAATTTTCAACAAACCACGAACAAGAAATGTAATTTACTCGGGAAAAAAAAGATCTCACCTCTGCATGAGATTTACGTAGTTTGTTTAGTTTGGTTTATCTGGTCATTCAATCTCTGCGTTATAAATTACATCTTTTGTTGCTTAACTTACATGTCGTTATTGCATTATTGGTTTGCATTCCAGTCCTGGAGAATTTCAATCGTTACATTTGTGTATCTTTGCAGATTAGAATCTCTGAGATGTTACTTGGTAAGGTTCCTGATGGATTCACGTTCTCACCAAAACACAAATCCAACGCATTCGACAAAGCCGAGAACGGCTGATCCATTTAGTCAAGTGTTTAAGGTGCCATGCTCATTCGATGTGCGATTCCGTGAGTTTTTATGCCATTGTTTCTCATTTATATCGAATATGAGATCTTGTGGATCACGAATAGGGGTTAGGCCGATCTTGTTCGGTCATTGCTGGCCGATGATTGGTTTAAGAAAGCATCTCGAGATCAAAACAATTGTCGATGTCCTAAAACTAACTGCAAAAAAGACGGGTAATGATAGATATTACCAGCAAGGACAACTTCGACTTTTGTCGTAATGCTTTATTTTCTTCGCAATTTTTTTATCGAGTCGGTTGGGTCGAGGTATCTGAATAACCCAATCCAACCGAACTATTTCAGCTTGAGAACAATAACTCATTTACGACATTTTTTTAAATTATATAATATTTATGTACGACAAATATTAATGCGTATTCATCGTCTTGGGTTGGTTGGGTTAAAACATATTTTTGGTAGAAAACAATAAAATCGAAGTTAAAAAACAGATCAGTAAACTCGTGTTTTGTTTCATCGGTGAAACCATTAGTAAGACGAATCAATACAAATCAACGTATGTATTTGTTGTTTCAAAAGCAAAACAAAAAACGAGTTTTAAGAAACGGTCGAGAAGATAATAAAGATATTTATGGAAGTTAAATATAGAATTTCGTAATAAAAATCGTACACAGTTAAGAATCAACATTCTCACTTAACTTATTGGGTAAGATTGTAATTCATTAAAAAGAAATAGCATGCAACATTTAATTTGGTAAATGCTTACGTGATACGAGTTGTCACTCTCCTTTACTGAGTAAGACTCTTGGTATTTGTCATTGCTTTTATTAGGTAAAATTCTTATTCTGTCATGTTAATCCAATAAAGTAAACTGATCCGCTAAATGCTTATCAGATAAACATTTAATAAATAACCCCTTATCTATGCTATATTATTGAACATTTGACAAAAATACTTAAAAACCATCTTTATTCATGAAATATTGTTTATTGATGTATATTACTTAAAATTCAAGATTACAAATAAACCGTGCGTAAGTAAAATTAAAGCTTCATGTTTGAATTTTCTGTAACTAACTGCTGATAAACATAATCAAATAGAGGATAAACATCTTATTTTAAATATAAAAAATCTAAAATATAATTAAGATAGTTATTAAATTTTAACAAAATACTTAATTATTATCTTTGTAAAAAAAGTTATATTATTAAACAAAAAAAATGGATTAAAAAATACACCAAAAAAAAAAGAAATTAAATAGTTAGTTTGATACCAATATCAATATTTTTTTAAATTTTTTTATGATATATCTTTAATTTATATTTTATTTAAAAATAAAAACGTTATTTTTTCTTAAAACTATATTATAACATTGAATTAGACAAAAAAAATATTAAAATCGAGACATATTTCGCTGCATTATTCGAATACTTTTTAGTTTTAACTAGAAGCGTACTCGCGCAATGCAGCGAGATACATCGTGATTTTAATATTTCATTTTATTCTTTATTTCAGTCGATGTTATAATATGGCTTTATATGATTTTGAGAAATCGATGATGTTTTTATTTTTGAATAAAATATA